CCCCAGAGCGAGCGCCTTGCAAAGCCCACGTCCCCCAGAGCGAGCGCCTTGCAAAGCCCAYRTCCCCAAAACGAGCACCTTGCGTTCCTCACCCGAGCCCCAGCAGGACCCACACGGGCACCAAGAGGCCCAGCCCGCTTCGTGGCCAGCCCAGCCAGGCCGCTCTGGGCAGGAGAGCCTAGCAGAGGGCCTACGGCCCCAGCAAACGCTGCTATTCAGACCTTAGGTTGAAAGAATTTCTTGCCTGGAGGAGGATTTCTTCATGTTGTCCCTTTCGCAGATCTGAAGGCTGCTGAGTCTCAGGACCCTTGTACCACARGGGAAGAAAGGCCATGTCCTGATCCCGGTGGCACCAGAGCCTGGGAAAAGACTCATCCAGTTCATCAGAAAGAAGAGGAAAGGAAAAAAAAAGAAAAGGAAAAAAAATGTAGCTTTGCTTCTACTATTCTTTTCTTTTTTTTTTAATGAAACACTTTCCAGTGTTTTAAGCAAAACATGACTTCATTTTGAAATTTCCTTGCGAACCATTAAAATGTTTTAAAGTGCGTGAAGCCAAAGTGAGATGTTTTGATTTTTGTCACTGTGAAATGTTTCACTCAACACATTCTTTTTTTTTCTCCATGATTTGCCAATTTTTTTTCAAAGTTTTATGTTTTCTCACCCAAAATATATCTATATTTTTTCTACTTTCTTTTAAAGGGCCCAAAAAAGGAAGAAAATATCCATTATCTACATGACTTCACCGAACACAGAACTTAATCCAAGCAAAACACATGACCCAGAAGACTCCTCTCCAAAGTTCCACACTTCCAGACACTTAGTCATCTATTGACTCGCTCACACACCAAGTCTAGACCCGCGTTGTCCAAGAATCCTGCAGGAACTGCCCCATCCCCAGAGGTCAGAACAGGGTCTCTCCTATTCCACCTTGAGCAGCCCACGGTGCCGCAGGGCCAGCAGAACCCACGGACAGGGTGTCTGGCTGACCCTCGTGGACAAGTCTCTTCCCCCATTCCCACACTGAGACACCTCAGACCAACCAGTTGATACAAGAAGATGGGAGCAGGAAGATGCTATAGGTCTGTAGGTGTAGGAAGATGCTATAGGTGCAGCGGGGCATGGTGCACACAAGGGGTAARATGGAGATGAGCTCTGTGTGGGTCCAGCACGGCAGCATTTCCCATGGAGAAGGAAAAGTCGCCCAGGAGGCTGCGGGTCCTGCCACGTGGGAAGCTTTCCAGCATGGGACCCATGGGGAGCAACTGGGCAGGGCAGGAACGGCCTTTGCCATCTGCTGGATGTAAAATCCTTCCTGTTAGATCTAACTAATCCCAGGGCCTTTGCAACACCCCTCCGGAGAGGCAGTTTCCTCTGCCTCCCAAGTGTCTGGGATTGCAATAGGCATTACCGAAAATGTTCCCCACGGGAGTCAACGCTGGACTCCCTTAAAACCCAAATACTGCCCCCTTCCTTCCCCACGATGCAAGCAAGCACTATGCTCTATTATCTCTACACCCACTAAATCTTTCTGAAATAAAGAATAAACATTTCCACCACACGTAGTAGAAGTGTATACACCAAGCTGCATCGCTTCCTTTCCTCTGCGGTTGTTATAAAGTGGTTTTGTTTCAATGGRGAAGCAGATGGACCCATTCCAAGCCTGTCTTCCCTGCGCCCTGTAAGTACATCTAATGCTATCTTTGGTTTATCACAGATTCCCAAAGAAAATGTTTACAGGAGCCCCTTGTTTAAAACCTTGGCTCCTTAGCATCACTCCTATTATTTATTAAATGTAAATCAAGCTGCTGTTAATGCATCGTGACTGTGGCAAAGGGAAGACACGAAAACGAAGGCCAAACACAGCCCGTTKCTCTGAGCATCCATGAGTAGGATCTTCCCGGGGCTGGTGGCAGCCATCCCTCCACGACAGTTCTGYAGGATATTTTGCTTTGCTATCCAACAGTTGAAGAGCTGGAGATGGATGATGTATAGATTGCATTGTGCAATGTATATAGGTGCCCGGTGCAAGGACCGGGCCACGCTGTGCCGTGGCCATCCCAACCACAGACCCTCCCGCCCCTATAATGAAAACACCCACAGAAATACCCACCTTCCTTCAGCAGGAGGGAGTTCATTTGCCTCCGTGTTCTGCATTTTTCCCTTAACAGATTCCATGGGGAAAAAAAAAAAAAAAAAAAAAAGAAAAGAAAAAAGACAACCCTTCCCATTTCCAGCAGAGCCAGCGCAGCCGTAACAACCCAACAAGCTCCTTATGGATGGTCTCTCTTGGGTTGAAATGCAGCAGAGTTTAAATTCCTAATTGGTTTTCAGGGAGATTCTTAAATATTCCTGGAAATGTTGTGCAGCTTTTTTTGAACGGAATGTTTATTTGTCAATTTAGTTATTAGCCTTCTTTCTTACTCTCTTTTATCACCAGACAAAAGAAAGTGGCGAAGGGAAGGGAAGTAGGCTCAGAATAATTTCCCCTGGCAGAAGACCCCAATCCCCAGAAGCTTAAAGATTTTTCTCATCAATTTTAGCAGAGACATGACTTCACTCATAGTGTCAGCTTAAATCAGCGTTCAAGTTTTTGCAGGGTTTGTGTGTTAGACCTCAGCAAAGTACCTGGATGCTCTTATGGAGCCCTCTTAATCTGTAGATCTCAAAGCCCTTTCAGGAGCTAAATATCATTATTCCTGTCTAATGGAGGGGGAAAGAGGCATGAGAAGTGATTTGCTAGTGCACATTCAGCCCCTCGGTGGGAGAGTCTCACACAGATTCCCAGTCTCATGTCCAGCCCTTTACACTGCCTCGGTGGGGTAAAGGGTGTATTTGTTTAAGCAATGCATTTTTTGGCACCATTCTCACAAATATTATTCCAAACAACCTTAATAGGGATAAAGTACTAGAACCATAAGAGAGAGGATCAGCTTCTTGTGTCTAAACTTGATGGTTGTTGCTTAATTCAGATGCAAAGAGCAAAATTCTTATCATCAGAAGTTTACCAAAAAGGAAAACGGCTCTTCCCAATAGCTGACATAAACATGTAAGTGCTACCAAACATATTTACATGTTTGAAATGGATGGTGTAATTACAATGAGTTATAGTCCATATTCAGTCTTTCCTCAGCTTAAATGCTACCTCCTGATACAGCACAATACATCTTTTAATCGTGATCACATGCTCTTTCTTAAAGACTCCTGCATTTTTTTTCCCTGGGAAAAGGTCTATAATTGAAAAGAAAACACCACTGTTTAAAGTCAATTCTCTGCCCTCTCAGAAATAAAAATGTGATAACCTTTAAAGAATTTCTGATTTCTGCATCTTCTACATTGTAGTAAGCCACTTATAAAATCATTTTGCACATATTGCCAGACCCCAGATTCGAATTTCAGCAGATATACTGGTTTTGAAGACTGAAAATTCTCAACATGGATCTTGAAAACAAGTCAGGTAAAAGCTATCAGAGCAAGTACTGACAAAAAACCAGAGTCCTACAATAAAAGCAGGTCCATTCTAGATCCAGCAACAACAACATCTTTCTCCTTCTTTCAGCTAACATAGGGCTGTTCCTTAGAGGGTAACAAAACAGCCATTAAATCCA